ACTGGGATCCTGCGACTCTGGACCTGGCGAGGAACCAGTTCATCGTCCACCAGAGGAGACTCAAAAGGCAGATGGGCCCGGAAACATTCGCAGTCTCGGCTCCGGCCAGCTATTAGCATGTGCATTCAGCAGGCAGACTCAAAATTCTGATTCTTGATCATTGGATCGAATCTCAATATCATCAGAATCAACGCAGCAGGAGAGTTCGACAACCAATCCGCCAGCATGGACACATGCCGAAGGTCATGAACCTAGAGAGGCTGCTGTGCGTCAGCGGAGTTGGCATTGGCGCAGCCACGTGCCGGACCGTGGAAACGTTCACCATTGCGTGTAAATGCTAACAGCGCAACAGGCCACCGACCGCGAGGGTGGGCATTCTTGTTGGTAACATCGCTGACGGATCTGGCTCGGACCTGCCCGCCACCCCTCGCGTTGCCTCCATGCAGTCAAAGAGGGCAATCCTGATCCTGAAGGAGGGCAAGGAGCGCATTACCTTGCCAGGCCCGCGCGCATGCAGAGTGCCGCTTGGCCAGGGCGCGCAGGTTCTGATGCTGGACAAGATGCCCTCGGGGCACCTGGCCATCCCTTGCTCGAGCCTTGCGGGGGCCACTCCCGGAACAGGGCAAGTCAGCAGCTGAGATCTGCACTCGTGACAGCGGAGGGAGCTCTTCACAGCGCGAGACACAGCCCGACCGCGGGCAGGCATCTCAGGCGTGCCGGGACCCTGGCGAGTGCAACCATGAGGCGTTGAGCCGCTTCGCGGATCAGGCTGTAGATGGCGCTGTCATTACGATGGTCAGCTCAACAGTGGACCGCTGGTATCGATCCGATCGCTCAGTGGATCGCTATGAGATGAAGCGTATGCCGTAGGCAGGCATCCACCGCGTGGTGAAAGAGGCAGCTGACAAGTGGGATCCAGACCCGATTGCGAAGTTAACCTCCCCCACCCACATCTGGAGATACATAAATATTGAAGTCGACACGCAGGCCACATCAGTAGCCGAAACCAAGAGAGCCCTACGCACAGAAATGACAGCAGGAGGACGCCACAACTATCAGCCAGGGAATCTCGTGGATCGCCGACCGACCACTATTATGGGCGACCGGGGTGGATGGGGCGACCCATGCCCCATCGCCCGCAACATCCTAACTGTGGTCAGGCTGTAGTGCGGGTCGGTGGTCGGTTAGTTCAATGTCCAGACTTACGACGTACATTAAATCTTGAAGTATTAATGGTCCGCGAGATCGGCTTGGATATTACGGCAACGCGAACGGTGTTGGCCATTATCGTGAGCCTGCCTGCGGGCAGACCTGCGATGGTCTTTGGCTACCTGCCGACCAAGCAAGGCAACTTGCGAATGTCTGCAGCGAGTCGTCTCTCGCCCAAAGTACATATAGCCTTGCATTTCCTGTTCGGAAATTATTTTATTGGAGCAGAAACGTAGTGGCGGTGCGTTTGGACAAACGCATCCACGGGTGTCCGGCAGTGCCCGATGCTGATAGCTGTGCCCTGGTATGCTATGACAACGACGTCACGCCAGGATTTCCTTGTCATGAATTTGTCAACATCCATGCCATCACTGGTACCGCGCACGCACGAATTACCCGATGCTTGAAGTTCCCCTCATCTCTAGCAGGCTTTGGCAAGGACCTTTCAAAGTTTGAGGACCTGGCGCGCGCGCGCGCCAGCGTCGGGCGGCCACGCCCAAAGGAGAAGCGACCTCCAGCGCCGGCCGCGCTTGACGGCAGGCCACCGACCATTGCTGAGAAATCAGACATGGACTTAGAAGCACACATCATGGAAGCGTGGTATGTCGAACTCCAAGAGGAAAATGAAGTGCTTGAGACGCCCCCGTGGGAGTCACTGTGCTGTGCCCGCCGAGATGGTTGGTGGCGGCCGCGCGCTCGTGGCTGTGGCCAGTAAGGAGCTAGGGCGCCTGCGAGAAATAGGGTAAGCATGGAACCATGGCGCCCACGATACCTTCCATGCATCTGGGGCCACAGAATACGACGAGGCGTGCATTTCCCAGCCGCAGCTAAAAGAGCTGCGGCCGTCAAGGAAGGCGACCTCCTGACGAGGGCAGTAATGACAGCGGGCCCGGCAAATATATCTAGGGGTATGTACACGGAGCTCAAACTATGATATGGTATCAAACGCTGTAAGATTCAGGGCATCAAGAATGCTGCCGACATCATGATCTCTAGACGCGTGTACAAGCGGAGGTTTTTCAAAAACGACAAATGCGAGATGGGGCGAACTATGCGACCACGCCTTGGTCTGCGTGGCTTCATGGGCGTCGACGCAAGCGACGTAGAAACCTTTTTTTCAGGCGCAGCTCGTCGAGTTCGCTAGAGACCGCTTGCCAGTGCGGCCGCGCGCAATGAACAGTGAGTGGATCATAGCATCCATGGATGCCGATAAGGCATTTTTGAAAGGCTTCACCTAGCGTGAGTTCGCAGCAGCCGCTGGAGAGAAAGAGCGCATGGTTTGCTTTGCTCTTCCACCTGGTCAGCCTCGGTGCTGCGTGCATTGCCCGGCCTCTCGTCCTATGGCGAGTAAAAAAGCACGGTCTACAGCTGGGCGCGGGCACCGCAGACGCCCCTGGGGCGCCCTCACTGAAGCTCAGGGCCATCGCGCGAGGATTAGGACCAAAACCTACGTCGTACGATGCAGAATTCGAGGCGAGCCCAAACCTCTTAACAGCCAAACATGTTGATGACATAAAGGCAGGCGTGGAGGTCGTTATGGACAGGTTCGTCAAATGTGCAGACAGTGCGCTCGGTGCATGTGATTTGAACAAGCGCAGTTGCAGTCGTTGCGCCGTGCGCTGCGTTGGGGCCGAGGGCGGCCGCGTCCAGCTAGAATCGCGTGACTGCATTAAACAGCTTCGACCAAAACAGCGCTCGCAACTGACGGGCGCTGTAGTGGAAGAAAAGGCGGCGAAGACAGCGTCCGACGTGTTCATTTACCTACCTTGGCGCATGCGCTAATCACTCAGGCGCGGTTAATGGCATGCGTGGCGCCCTTGCAGCGAGCGCCGGAACCCGCGAACCTACAAATGCGAAGACTTTGCGCCCTCGCGCGTAAATTTCAGCACGGCTCAAAGAAGATAACGTATCAGCTCGTGACTCCGACGGGGGAATTGGACTTTCGCAGCGACTCCGGATATCGTCGCCTTAATGGGGGCGAAGACGACGAGGTAAAGTGACGTGGCAACCGAGGGGCCGACCATTTATTGCGCGGACACGCGCCTATTGGCAAAGCAGTAGTGCGTCTGACCGACGCACGCTGCAAGTCGCGTCGCTTGCAGGTGCGTTCCAGCTACTCAGCTGAAGAGCTGGCAGCCGCTCAAGATCTGGAGGGCCGCTGCCCTGCCATTGTTACGCTGCGCCTGCTTGAGGGCCCCTGGCGCCCACTCAATTCATTCGGAGTTAGTTGGTCGCAGCATTAGGGCCGCTCTTACCATGGGCGCCGAGTCTGTTTTTTTAATCCTTGTCGAGAAGAAACCGATTGAATTTGCGCTGCTGGGGCACCTCATTTGGGCGGGGCATGATGTGCCGAGGTATTGTTCATAGCGCACAGTGGTGTAATTCACGTGGCATGACCTCCGATGGCCATGCCGCGGGGCGCATCGATCGGGCCTTGCCGCTGCTATGGATGGATGGCAATCAGCCCTTCAAATGCGAAATAGAAAAGTACATGCCCCATCGCGGCAAGCACGATGCATCCCTAACGTAGGGGGGCCCTACTCGGGACCGGCGGATGGGAATGAGGGCGACTACTGATGCGCAGACAAGTAACTATCTTTGCCCGGGCACGGGCATGTATACCTAAAAGTAGTTTTCCATTCCCGGCCACGGGCATCCACGCCCCTGGCTCCTCAGCTGCTGTGAGAGCCCGGACGCGGGGACGGTTCCCTCTGAGTTTTTGAGAGGATCTGACCGTTTGATCGTATTCCCGTACGCGATGCGCGCTTTCGACGTCCAGCCCAAAGGCTGGGCGCCACCCTAATAGTCTGTGGGCAGTCGCGCGGTCATGCCTGTGACTGCCCATAATCGTCCGCGGCTGGTCGTGAGGCAGTGCGCCGCGACCTGCTCTCGTAGTCTACGCTGCTTCTACTGTGCCTTGATATGTGTATTGTTGGGGATGTTGAAAAACAATGCCGTCATTCTTCTTTACTGTAACTCATTCGCTACGACTTGGATCTAGCGCTCGCCCCCCCCCCACCCATGTTAAATGAGGTTCAAGGAGAGGCTATATAGCGAACGCTATATCCGACGCTGTCTTGGCTCAAGACAGCGCTGTCGTATTTGCTTGTTGCGCGACCCTGCGCGATTCTACTGGGATCATGCATCAGACAGAAGCCAAGTATATCTGTGATCCGCCCCTCTTATCTCATGGTTTCTCTTTTGCCTCTCGTCTTGCTTTTCCATCGAGGGATGAGTTGCGGGGTGCCTCGATGCGTCGCCGACGTTATCCTAAGAGTAGGGTTCTCAGCTCATCACCTTATGGTTAAGCCCTGTACCATTGTTTTTCAGTATCTTGGGGTCCTCTTGGAGGCCTCTTGGGCCGCGTTGGGTTGGTCTTCTTCTTGGTCCGGGAAGCCGAAAAGCGAGAGCGCCCATATCATTGAAAAACCCAAGGGGATCACTGATTGTTGCTTCTTCGGGCCCCTTTGGGAAGCTTTTTGGAGGCTTCTTGGAGCATCTTCGGGCAGTTTTTTAAGCGTTTCGGGTTTCTTCTGGGCCGTCGGGGGCCTCTTGGGGCCTTTTTGGGTTGTTTTGGAGCCATTTAGGCCCCCGCGACTCGTTCGGTCTGGGGTCGCGGGGGGCCAACGTGGGCGGGCGCCGAATTTTCGGTTTGGGGTCGCAGGGGGGAGGACTTTAGGGGGGAAGCCTCCCACGCGAAAAGAGTTCCAGGATGGCGGGGGATTTTCGTCTAGCGGTGAAAAAGTCGAAGCGCCGAAACCATTTGTGGTTTTTGTTATTGTGTTGTCTAGGCTGTCTTCCTCCTCGAGCACGGCGCCAAGCCGTGGCTGCGCACCCGCATCGGCCAGCTCCCCGGGGACATGCTGCGCGGGGACGACACCCGGCTTTCGACGCAGCGCCTCAAGGCTCTTCAACGCCCGCGGCGGCCCGGACATCTTGGCATCGCATTTTTTTAACGACGGGCGGTCTCGCCTTGATTCGGCCCCCGGCCCCCAGGACCAACACATATCGATCCGGCGCTTCAATGGGGACTAGGTATTTGGCGCGTTTTTTTGTACGATGAAACCGACCGCTACGGCGACCCGTGGCTGGGATTGTATTTACTTGGTTATTGAGTACATATGTGACCAACCACCGCCGCGCATGGCCCCCACAGGGTCAACGTTGGCCAAGATATAGGACTGAAGAAGATGTGTTCCCCTTCGCCGTGCTCCCCCCAGTGTTCCCCAACACATTTTTCCGTGTAGGCCAGTGTTCTGGCACGCGCGTAGAATATCTTCACGGTCTGAGCATGCTATGTGTCCGTCGGCTGTCCCGACCGGCGTCTTGGACCTAATGTGGGAACATCTTGGGGAAGGAGGCAGAGGAGGAGGAGGATTGGGAGGAGGATGGGGAAGAGGAGGAGGAAGAGGCCGGGCAACAGGAGGAAGAGGAGGGGGACCAGAGTGAACCCAAGATGCATCAGTGTTGCTGCAAGATGCTTTCCTGTCCCAGGTGCCTTCTTCATATGGTCATGCAATATTGCCTTATTCACTACAAGAAGTGCCCCGTATGAAAGACCAGTCCAACGGGGCTGACCAATTTGACGAGGGCCCCGCTTTGACAAAGGAGCCGCCTTGCATCATTCTGGCGTAGAGTCAGGAACGCAAGAAACTTGAGCACGCAATCCGGCGAAACGCCCAGCTATATCCCCTTTTTCGAAGAAGGACCGCCCCCCGATCCGTGTAACTGTTGCACAGGCTAACACTTATGGCCATGAACTTCGAGGAAGCCAACACCGAGACCTCCATTTCGAAGAAGAGCAGCGTGGATCCGTGCAGTGCTATATGTGTTGCATTCCCGGGTCTTTGGTATCAGTGAAATCCCAAGCGATACTGATTTTTCAAGGAGGGCTGTCCTCCATCTTTCTGCACATGTTGCAACGTGTGAATGGAACGTGCACTGGGCTGCATTGTAGATGTTCAAGATTTTGAAACGAATGTGCGCGGCGCTCAGGCGCGACCCACATTACCCAAAGCGGTCAGCCTCCATCTTCAGACAGGTTGCACACTTTACAAACGAATGTGCACCGCGCTCGGCTGGATGCTTTTCAGATGAATGCGCGCGGAACTAAGGTCAAAACCACATTTTGAAAAGGATCCGCCCTCCATCCAGATATTATTGCTCCCCCCCTGCTCGCTCTCTCCGCTCGCCGCCGCCACCGCCACTGCCCGCAGCTGTTGGAGATCTCGTAAGAGATTTGCTCGAGGACCGAACCGTGACATGGAGAGCAGAACGGGTCGTTGCGTCGTCGTTGATCACTCTTCCTTGTACCGTCATTTCTCTTGATCAGCTTAACGGATTGTTGTGATCTCATCCGAAAGACACATCATGAGCGATGATGCCTTTATTTTGCCATCATCACTTCATCCCACCTTCGCCGGGAATCACGTTCTTCTGGCGAATGACTGGTTGACAGCCAAAATTTTAATTGATGGATCATATGCGCAAGCGATTGCAGTCAATGGTGCGAGCGAAATTGTTTCTATGGTGAATGCCCATGAGCGGACTAATGTATGTTTTCTCGTTTCTCGATGGCCCACTCGTTCCAACGTTCGACGGCGAATCAACTTTGGCTCAGCCGACAGAGAAAGGGGGGCGAAATGGTTCGCGATTTGTCCGCTATCTTTGAGGACGATGATATCACATCTGACAGTCCATATTGGTTTCCCAAACTTATCACGTAGGAAACAACACAGGAGAGACACCTGGTGCGAAGCGCCATACGGCGCCTGGGAATGTCAGTATGGGCCAGGACTCCCCCGTCCCAATCGTCGGCGTGACAGGAGACACGGTCGACGAGCGACGACGCCCAGCTGGGGGTCGGGGTCCGGGACCACGTTCATTTCCAAAACCGTCCCCGCGCATCGGTGGCATAATATTTTTGTCAAGATCACCTTTGGCATCCCGAGTGCGCAATAGGTCAAGAAACAGCCTCGGGCTTTGGTAGATCCGCCTCCGCAGGCGTCTCAGTAAAAACCGGGTGCTGGGCCAAAAGGCCGGGGTGCCATCCATCAGCAGATGTGATATGCCCGTGGAAGGCACGCGGAGAGGAATATTCGCGTCGACGACCCGTGTGTGCAGGGTGCTCGCGCATCTGTCAATTTTGGCGCTGTTCCGAATGCCGCCGAATGAAAAGAAAAACATGTGCCGCCATTTCGCATTCCCAGCATTGCCTCCCACGGTCACGCACCCTCGGAATCGAAGGGCGGCGCCTTCGCCATCCACGAAAAACTTCTCCGTGCAAACGATGTCACCTTTCAAAAACAAAGCCCAGTTCATTGACTCGTGCATCCTCCCTGGGTTAGAAGTTACAACAACATCAGCCAGCATTGCACTATGCACCAACGTGAGATGCATCGAGTTACATTTATCTAAAGCTGACTGCGAACATCTCTCTGCGCATGCCGAGTGCACGTAGACTGGCATCCTTGCCCCGATGTTCAAATCTAATTTTTCTGTTGCAGCACGTTTGCGCGCAGCTGCTCGCAAGCGGCCGTCTCTGAGCGATATTTTGTGTCCCCGCATCTGTGCTTCAAGAGGTACATCACCTGCCATCGTCTCCGAATCTAAGACATAATTCTCACGAATGCCGACCATGCGATTAGCGGTTCCTCTATCCCGATTAAATTGGAGCTCCGCTGACATAGAGGCGTCGCATATTGCAGCCGCAGATGCTACGGCCTCACGCTGCATGTCCCCCAACGTCGTCGCCACAGACCCGTCACCAGTAAGCCGGCATGCCTTCGAAACGGAGTCCTGGCGCTCCCGCGCCAGGCCTACCAGAGATCTCTTAGTTGAGGTTCTCAACTTGCCAGTGTTGCCGTGCACTTTGGTGAAGTCTGTCTCGCGCGGGTCCCCATAGAAGTGCGCCCAAATAGTTGCAGCGAGCTCGCAGACAGCGTCGATCTCATTGGGCTTCATGTCGTTGACAAGCTTCATTTCGTCGTTCTCGACCCCTTCGCACAAAGAACCGCGCCTTCGATCTAACAACCAATCCTGCATGTTGTGCACGTGCTCCACTCCAGATGTAGTCATGCCGCTCCATGTCCCAAGCCGAAGCACCACCTCTCTGAGCTCCCGGTGTCTGCCACCACATGCGAGCAGAACGTCGCGCCCCGCGCCAAACGTGCATGCGCAGTCGGACTCGCTTAGCTTCCTGACAGCTGCAGGTAGGAGGGCGTCGTACTGGCACTGCAATGCTTGCATTGGCAAGTTGAACAGCTTAGCCAAACGAGGGAGGCACGCATCCTGATCGATTCCAGTTATACTGCAAATGCGGTCTGGGTTGAAAATCGCAAACGACTGTAAGATACTCCACGAAGGGAACTCAGCGTGTATGTCAGATATAGCCAAAGCAACCCATCCGTGCGCGTGCGTATAGGCAGCGTCCAATGAAGCTTGTGGCAAAGCCCCAGCCCAGCCTATTTGGTAAGGAGTTCCGTTGATGTGAAAAACCTTTGGCCGAGTAAGTTTGTCGTGCAGCATCTTAGCCCACGTTGCCGGCAATGCGAACGCTTGCCGCTGCATAAACAGCACTTGTACTCGACGTGCCCACTTAGCGAGTGCAAAGTTCAAGTCAGAAACTTCATACGCCTCCGTATCCAAGAACCTGATGAACTCCAGCGATATCTCACCAGCCTCCGCCATGAGCCCAATGAGCAGTGCCCGCGCGATCCCTTGCTGCCCAGACATGAACTCGATGAAACTCTGGAAATCCTGGCCTATATCGTTGCCATGACGTAAGATGCACACCTTTTTAGAGAGCAAACAGATCTCATCGAAAAACACGATTAAGCGAATCAGAGGCCGCAGGGCAGAGTCAAAACGATGCTTGGCGTTCGACATGTTTCTTATGTGGGAGAGCTCAACATTTTCTGGGTTTTGACGGATCGGTTGTTGGAACAATCTCTGAATATGGTCATTGTTCTTCACCCGCTGGATAACCGAGGTCGGACCCATGACGACGGTGTCAGCGACGGTCTGGATTGCGCTGATGGCGTCCCACGGGCGCTCCAAGATCCTCGCGGGCAGTAAGACACATATTTGGGGTATGGCCAGAAATCAGCTCTTACTTAGGCTAAGATAAAAAGGGTTCGGCGGGGCGCCGCTAGGCTAAGGCCAAGGGAAATCCCACCAACCCTCTGGGCGTAGGTGGTTCCGGGAGTTTCCTCTTCCAACCTCCTTCATCCCCTTCGGGGAGGGGTTCACCCCTCCCCATCCTCCCCTGGACTTGGACGGGGGGGGGCCGCTGGTAGTTAGAGCGTCCAAAACGGCCTCGGCGAGGAAGCCAAAATCATCGGTTTCACTAAGGTTTTGGCCGTGGAGGCCCCCGAGGGGGGACGCTAATTGGGGGGGCCCCCATCCTTTGGTCGATCACCTCCAAGATGGCCCCAAGAGCGCTCCCAAGGCTCCCAAGAGCACCCCAAGACGGCTTCAAGAGGCGCTCAGGAGGCCCCAAGAGGCGACCAGGAGGCCCCAAGAGGCCTCCAAGAGTCCCCCAAAATACCCCCAAGAGGCCCCCAAGAGGCCCCAAGAGGCTCCCACGCGGCACCCAAGACGGTCCGCCAAGAGGCCCCCGAGACGCCCAAATAGACTTCAAAGAGTACCCCAAGAGACATCCCAAGAGACTCCGCGAGGCATTCAAGAGGCCTTTGACTCATCTGATTGCCCTTATCTCCTCCTCCTTCTCCTCATCATCACCATCATCATCATCATCATCATCATCATCATCATCATCATCATCATCATCATCATCATCATCACCATCACTATCACCATCACCATCACCATCACCATCACCATCGTCAAGACCACCACCATCATCGTCATCATCAGCATCATCAATATCAACACCAACTTCATCATCCGCCTATTCCTCATCCTGCTCATTCCTCCCTCCCCACCCTCATCATCCTCCTCCTCTTCCGCCTCCGACTCCTCCTCCACCCCCCCCCCCCTTGGGGTGCGACGGCCTCCCCAGCCCCGTGTTTCTCTGTATGCTGCCCCGCTTCCATGATCACCTCTACTCGCCTGAGCGGCGTTTCTGGATGGGCTGGTGGGGATGCGCGAAGCGTCAAGAATTCAAATCGACATCAGGCAGAGGGGGGGGGGTAGGACTTCTCGCCCCCCGGGGTCCTCCTTGCCGCGTGCGTCGCATCCTTCAACAGCAATTTTGTACGGGGCAGTAGTGAGTTAGGATTATCGTGGAAAGCGTCCGTCACCATCTCTCCAGCCGCTTGCGTGGTTGGATCTCCGTCTGCATCGAAAACCTCATGCATCGTCCTGATATGCTCGAACAGGCTTCTATCGAAAATTGGCTGAGGACCACCCTTGGCTAGATAAGGAGCTCCGTGACCAGTCGTGCAGAAGTTGGTCATGGTTTGCTGCAAGGCCTCTGCATAAGCGCTCGCAGCATCGGGTTGATCGGCCTTGACCTTTACAAAATCTGAACGACCAAGCACGCCCCTGCGAACGGACAGCGTGTCCAGCCTACCAGCTGAGAATTTCACAGTAAACATGTGTTTTCTCCTATCATCATGAAACACAATAGAATTAGATTTGCGAATGTGTTCGCGATCTAAACTCCTCAGCCCCTCCGCTAGACAGAACTGCATCTGAGTGATCTTCTTGCGGTGGCCGATGCCACTAATGGCTTTGACGGCGCCGCCCTGCGATCGGTTCTGCAGAACTTTCAAAAGCGCAGTCTTGGTCGGAGCGCTGCGTTCGGCCCCCAGTTCGCTTGCCAACTTGACGCAATGGGGGCACTTGAGCAAGGCAGCCACGCTATCCTTCTGCGACTGCGTCTGGGCGTGCGACTCGAACCGTTCCACCCTGATCCTGGCAACGCTTCTCCCAAACTCGCCTTGAGAACCGTTGAGGTGACATGCTTTGCAACCAACACCGCAATTAAAGAACAACCAAGAACCCAGGTGCGGCTGCTCTACGCACAAGAGACATTTCTTTCGCCATCTAGTTTTGGTGAGCGTGCCTGGTTGGGTAGCCCGCTGAAGTTTTACCATGATGGAGCCAAAACGGCTACGGACTGGCAGTCGCAGCATCACTTGAAACAGGTGCGAGCACGAGCGTGAATGAGGCTTGGCTTGTATTTCCCAGGCAGCGTTTGCACTCAATGACGGCCTTCATTGATTGACGCAAGCAAATCCCACCAGCCCTCTGGGCGTAGGTGGTCTAGAACAGATCCTCTTCCACCCCTCCCTCTTCCCCCTTGGGGGGGGGGGGGGGTACCCCTCCCCCACGCCCCCTTCCCCTGGACCTGGACGGCGGGTTTCGCGAGCGGTCGGACGGCTCTTTTGGCCCCAAGATGGCTTCGAGAGCGCGTCAGAGAGCCCGAGATGAGCTCCAAGATGGCTCATGGCTCCTAACATGGTTCCAAAAGACGGCCCCAAGACGGCCCCCCGTGGCCGAAGAGCTTCCCAAGGTGGCCCCGAAGAGGCCAAAACCGCACCGACACCTGACGAAAATCGATGTTGTTTGCTTTCTCACCGTTTCGCTTCCGACGGCCATCCAAGGCCTCAAGATGGCTCCAAGGTGGCCCAAGAGGGCCCCACAAGAGGCCCAAGAGAGCCCCAAGACGGCCCCGAGAGCGCCCAAGAGCGCTCCAAGAGCGCCCCAAGAGGCGATGTTTGGAGCTCCTGAGGGGGGGGGGGCTAATTAGGGACCCCCCCCCTTCGTTGATCGATCTCCTCCAAGATGGCCCCAAGAGCGCCCCTACAGACCCCAGGAGCGCCCCAAGAGCGCCCCAAGAGGCGCCCAGACGGCCCCAAGAGGCGCCCAAGAGGCCTCCAAGAGGCCCCCAAGA